ATAAATGAAGCTTAAATTTTCTTCTCTTTATTCTTATTCCTCAATCATTTGACCGACTATTAAAGTAGAAAATAAAAATCTCTAAAGGCTGTGTTTGGTTCTTAAATAGCTAAGTTAAGTGTTTAAATTTTTTTTTTGTACATTAGGAATTTGGGATTGATGAGAGTTGAATTCTCGACCAACTAGATCCAAATACTTAGAGCTTGAGAATGAACCATTAAATCTGAAGACTCGATTCAAGTTAAGTGTTTGAATTGTGTACATGGTTGTGTGTAAGTAAAGGAAAATAAGAGTCTTGACTTTTGAACGTATAAGATTCGATTCACTTTTGCATATTTTGTCTCCAGAGTTAGAATAAAATTTTTCTCCGGAAAAGGATTCAAATTTTTCAATAAGAAATACTGGCAAATGTGTCTAGGCGAGTGGGTTTTTATAAAATTATATCTTAGTTTGGGCTAATACCTATAACCAAAAATTCAGCCCACCATCAGTGAGTTGGGCTAAATCTTTAAATCGAATCTAATTTTGCCGAATTTAGAAGGAGGCAATAAGATTGCAGCATCTTTAAGCTACTATAGATTTGGTCAGCCCAATCCAGCCCAACCCAACCCAACCCAATAATGTCGATTCAGGGTGAGGGCACCAGAAGATAAGTAGTGTGCGAAGAAGAAGAAAATGTTTTACCAATTTAGCGTCAGCAATTGTCTAATTGCGATTGAAAGACTTACGGCAAGATGGAGATAGAGTCAGAGAAAGATAGGAGAGCAATTGCTTGCAACAGAAAGCAGAAAGAGAGAGAGAGAGAGAGTCTCAAAATCCAAATCCAACCTCCACACAGCACCTCCTCGCTTGGGAGTCGAGAACGGAAATGAACTTATTTTTGCTTTGTGGTGGGCTCATGCTCTCCAAGCCCCTCAAGCTCATGTGTACAAAAAACAGTGTTTTAGATACCAAATTTGAGACTAACAATAACAAAACAGTGGTTGCCTTTTGCTTATGCCATATGATATGTAAAAAAAATGGGATATGGTATGGATGAATAGACTTGCACATAAAACGTAGTGTAATGTAACTATCATTATATGGGTATGGTGGGGTATGGATGGGGTGGGTTCACATTAATGTCAAAGTAAAAGGAAGAAATTTTAAAGATTGTAAGATGGGTTGGTAGGTCCACGGAAGAAAAAGATGGAGCTAAAGGGCCCCAACCCAACCCAACGTAATATCTTTCTAATTTCTCCAAACTTTCCCTATCTCATTATTAGGAAATAGATCTCATAAGATATGGCTTTTGCCGCCTTTTCCTTTTGGATAAAAAATATATATATCAAAGTAGTAAAATATATATAGAGAATGATATTTATTTATTTTATTTTTTAAAAATTATGAAAAAAATTATTTTAAAATTATCTTATTGAAATAAACTTTCATCAAAATAGACTTAAATATTTTATTTTTAAAATATGAATTAAAATATTTTGGTTTTTTTTTCGTGATATTTTATTAAAATGATATAATTTTAAAATAATTTTTCTCATAATCTTTAAAGAGTAATACAGATAAACACTCATTTTAATTGAGATATTCAAACTTGTGCTTTTATGCACATGTGTGTATTATGGTGCTCTTTAGCAAATAATTATCATAAGAAATTACTACAAAAGTAAATTAAAAAATTTCAAACTCAATGTTATGTGATAATTTTAATTGAAAGCTTGACAAAATTATACTTGTTAATTTCTAATTTTTTATATAAATTACTCTTTCTATCTATTTTTAGTAATTTTAG